CAGCCTTCTGGAGCACAGCCTTCAGCCGTTCTATGGTCCCAGTTGGCCATCTCCAACCTTCTGGAGCACAGCCTTAAGCCTTTCTATGGCCCCAGTTGGCCATCTCCACCCTTCTGGAGCACAGCCTTCAGCCGTTCTATGGCCCCAGTTGGCCATCTCAAGCCTTCTGGAGTACAGCTTTCAGCCGTTCTATGGCCCCAGTTGGCCATCTCCAGCCTTCTGGAGTACAGCCTTCAGCCATTCTATGGCCCGAGTTGGTCATCTCCAACCTTCTGGAGTACAGCCTTCAACCGTTCTATGGCCCCAGTTGGTCATCTCCAGCCTTCTGGAGTACAGCCTTCAGCCGTTCTATGGCCCCAGTTGGCCATCTCCAGCCTTCTGGAGTACAGCCTTCAGCTGTTCTATGGCCCCAGTTGGCCATCTCCAGCCTTCTGGAGCACAGCTTTCAGCCGTTCTATGGCCCCAGTTGGTCACCTCCAGCCTTCTGGAGCACAGCCTTCAACCGTTCTATGGCCCCAGTTGGCCATCTCCAGCCTTCTGGAGTAGTCTTCAGCTGTTCTATTGCCACAGTTGGCCACCTCCAGCCTTCTGGAGCACAGCCTTCAGCAGTTCTATAATCCCAGTTGGTCATCTCTAGCCTTCTGGAGCACGGCCTTCAGCCTCACCAAAGCATTTAATTCCTGTATTAACTATAGAAGATGATGTTTGTAGAACAAAAACTCTTAATAAACCAACACGTATTTCACACAATCTCGTGTCCTTGGTGCAGCCACTGATATTCACTACGCATATACTCGCTGCACATGATTTCCGCCAAGGTTAAGATCGCCATGCATTGCGGGAGCCACCATTACAAATTTTATATCACCCATAATTTGTTGCAGATTACAACGGCGAAGATTTTCCTCCCTTCGTTCTCCATATCGCACATTTTATCAGCACAATTTCCGACGATCTGAAAACTTTCAGAATACGAAAAAACTTGCTTTTAAAACGCTAAGTAGCCGGGGATGAAGTTTGAATAACTTTTATATCTCTCGACTGCTAACACTCAAACTTTTTTGATTGGTAACTGAAGAGGAAAAGTTTTATATTTGTTGAATTTAATGGATCACAGGGAGACGGCACACCTTAAAGAACTGGGCAGAGAATTAAGCACTGGATAAATTTCACTTCTGTGGAATATTCAAACGGTAATTCTATCATCAATTTGATTGGCATTGTATATGAGTGGAAATAGTTCATTTATCGTGTAATTTATTTTGTTTTATCACAAAAAGAAAATTTTCATTTTCCGGGTACGTGGTTCACAAATTAAGTGGTTAAAACCTGTTAAAAATTCTTTTGAATAAATCCTAAGGATGGGTTAGAATAATACCGAAGGCGTTTCACTGTGTATATAATTATGATATAAGTTCAGAGGTAAATATTATTCTATGTTATATTATATTCTTTCATAGGTCTAGCAGCATACGCTTTTTCAGGAGATAAATTTTTACCGAAAAAGTTTTCGAAACAATTTAGTTATAGACGCTAGCAGAGATAAAAAAAATAGTTAGGGAATACCACTAACTGATATAAATGTCAGTGATAATATGGTATTGATAGTTTCTTGCTGGTGTAAAAAAAATTACTCCTGACTAATCATTAGAAGCGCTTGACGTCCGCGACTAAATTGTATATTCGTTCGACACAACCATAGAATGAGTATGAAATAAAATTAATCAATAAGTTCATTCCGAGTGTGGTAATCTTCTGTGAGAATTTATTCCGGCAAAACAACTACACGAACCGAGAGACACTATCGAAAGGCTACCAGATCATACACTCAAGAAAATGAGCGAGAGTTGGTCCAAAATAGCATTGTTATTCTTTGTAGAATAGCCGTATTATGGGTCAACCTGAACCAGCTTTGCTTTCCAAAAAGCCGTATCAGTGCTACGTCTGCTCTATGCTCGTGATATACTTATGAAAGAAAGTGTACTATCATAGATTCGACACTATATCTCATTAATTTTTCTGGATGTTACAATGATTGTCTCATTAAGCTTAGTTCCGAGCGAGATTGCGAATGGACTGCATTCCAATCGCGATTGTTTTTTTGCAGCGTCAGCGTCGTTGTGTTACGAGGCAGCAGGCAAGGACGATATTGAGAGGCAGTCGAAAGTGTCCATCGATTTCAGATATTATTTGCATAGACGGCCTACCAGCTAAGCTTTATCATCGATCAGAGAAGAAACAAACCGAAGGAAAAAAATTAAGAACGACCGGAATGTGAAGGACAAATTGTATTTATGTTTATTCCAGTAATTCGTAACTTTTCTAAATGAATTGGGCTCATCGGGAATTGCGTTTGTTGGAGATACTTTTCAATACCCATTGAAATTGATTAATGTTTTTCAATAAATTGAGCTGTGGTGACGATCATTTAGAACGCTTTTATCTGTGTTGCGGTTATTTAATGATATATAAAGAAGAAAATAAATGAAAAGAGCAATTTTTCACAAATAGTGACATACTTTCGGCCTTGAAAAACCTTTCTGCCGGGCAGAATTGGTTAAGATGACACACAATAAGGCAAATAGTGCATCGCTATTATGACAAAGTCTAACTTATTTATGTCAGTGGGATACAATATAAATTACGTAAATAGCTATAAATTAATAGATTTTGTACGTACAGAAAGCAAGTCATTGTCAGTGAAGAAGGAAAAATGTTGTCAGTTTCGAAAAAATGTATGATAAAAAATGATAGCAAAATAGTTTTTTGTGTTTTTGTGCATTGTTAAAGTAGCCGGCAAAAATATTGCTCATATTACCGCAAGAAATGCAATACCGGCTGACACAATCTAGATGTAGTACAATTCATTCTTTTCTGAACTATTGTACATTTCTAGCATTTCTTCACTCTATTATCTTAACTAAACATTCCTAAACTCAGTATAGAAAGCTGAGAACGATAATATTATTGCATAAATGTTAAATTAAATGAATGATTTTTTATTTTTTGTAAAAAACTAAAAAAACGTGCAAAAGTAATATTTTGCACGTGTTTTGTAGAATTTCATGACAGCAATTGAAAATGAAAGCGTAGCTCAGTAATTCGGTCGCGCCAATCAAGAAACTCGTTAAAACCTCGCATGGGCAGGAAATTACCGGTTAATTGCCTGGGAAATGCTAAATCTTCTTCAGTCTATTGCTGTACTAATCAAGGCGAGTAAATAAACGAAGTAGTAATTAAAGGAGTAGCGATTAAGTAGTGATTACTACTTAATCACAAATTATTACGTAGTAACTGAGTAGTAAATACTACTTAACTATAAAGAATTTGTAATTAAAGAGTAATTAATACTTAATTACTACTTTTTTTATTACTTGTACTTAGATGAATTGTCAAGTTTCAATTAAGTAGCAATTTTTACTTAATTAATAAGCAGAAGGAAATAATGTTTGCTTATTTGAAAAGTTCAGATCCCTAGGCTGCAAAATTTTTCAGCCCAATAATATGCAGTACAAGTACTTAAATAATTTGTTTTCTGTTGATATAGCCACGAACTTCATCAAGTATAAATTCCCAAAATTTATTTACGTAAGATGATTCAAGATTATTTGACTAATTGCTTGACTAAAATAGCTTTCGATTCTACACCTGAAAAATGGGGTGGAATAGATGTTAAAAAAAAGATTAAAAAAGATGTTTTCTGTAGCCCGCCTTCGTCTTCGAACGGTTGGTTCAGTTTGCCTTTATTACCATCTAGCCTTGAAAACCCATTTTTTAACACATCACAGCAACAATTTTATAGTCAATCTTTCTTCTATCCTCTGAAGGAAAGAATACTGTCTTTGTCTACGAGGCAGTATCTGTCTCAAAGAACGAAGCTACATTTATTCAAATACTCGTAATACCATTTACGAAAAGTATTCCAACTGCCCGCTCTCAGAAATCTCATTGCAGCTGCTCAAGTAACTTATTTTCATTCCAAATGCGCACTTGAAAGTCAATCATGGCTCTGGAATCGCACTGTAATGTTCTTTGCAACAGATTCTCATTTCCTCTTCCATGACTTGAAAAGATTTCAGCCGTTATATTTTGCTTCTACGACGTTGAAAATGATTGCTGATGATGAATTAAGGCTTGTAAATTATGATTTAATGCTTAGAAGTATGATTATTCATATCTCAGCCTTCCTATTTAGTTCCATGAAGTTTCCAATACTCACTTGTAATGGTTTAATAATAATGTTGAATAATTGGCCTGCTTGGTCGGACCAAACTTCAAACTCTGGATCATTTTGTGACCAAAATTTTTGTTGACATGACAAAGAAAATTTACCTATGACGTGATGCCCTGAGATTGCTTATAAGGTGGAACTGATATTACAGATCGAACAATCAAGCAGATTGTCAAGTGAGATGGATTGTCAAGTGAGATGGATTGTCAAGTGAGATGGACTGTCAAGTGCGAAGGATTGTCAAGTGAGATGGATTGTCAAATGAGTCGAATTGAGAAGTGAGATGGATTGTCAAGTGAGTCGGATTGAGAAGTGAGATGGATTGTCAAGTGAGTCGGATTGAGAAGTGAGATGGATTGTCAAGTGAGATGGATTGTAAAGCAAGACGGATTGTCAAGTGAAACGGATTTTCAGGTGAGACGGATTGTGAAGTGAGATGGATTGTAAAGAAAGACGGATTGTCGAGTGATATGGATTGTCATGTGCGATGGATTGTCAAGTGAGATGGATTGTGAAGTGAGACGAATTGTCAAGTGAGATGGATTGTCATGTGCACTGGATTGTTTTGTGAAATCGTAATTATTATTATTATTTTCATTATTAAATATTATTATTATTATTGTTATTATTATTATTACTATTATTATTATTATTATGATTATTATTATTATCATTATTATTATTATTACCATCAATATTATATGAAACTTCTTCGACTGTCGAAAATTTTTTCGTCTTTTATGAACTGGGACAATGAGAATACGCCTCGTTCTCAACGTGCTACATCAAAAAATACAAGTTTCAAATCTTGCTAAAATGTAGAAATGAGTATACCGCACCAAATATCGTTTTAAAGAAAAAGTTTTAATAAGCTCACTCTTCTTAGACGAGAATCGAACCTTCAGTATGAAAGCACAGATCAAATGCAACTGAAAAATCAATAAAGGTTCATCAAATCAATCGATCACTCGTCTCTAGCAGGCGTTGAAGTTTCACGTCCTATATGATTACCAAAAAATAATGTTGGATATCAACATCCATAAAGAACCATACAAAAAACTTTTCTAGAGAACAGTAAAGTGTTAGGACAAAACGATATATTGCTGCTACATTTTTATGATTCCAAAAATTCAAACGCCCCGAGCATAAATCGAGTTTAGTTTGAAGAGGAATGTTACCAATACCTTATGTCCATTCTTCCACCTAACTGCTGGTTCTTCATATATAAGTGGATAAAGAAGGCCCGTAAATGTTAACATTTACATCTTTTATTAAAATAAACCTAGATGAATAAATATGAACACTTTACAAGGAGTGTACCTGGTTTTTAATTAGAATCAAGAATGAGTACTAAATGAGTTTTTCTTATTGAGAAAAAATCTCTTAAAGTTTTAAGACCGATACGAGCCCGGGAGAGGAATGATTTTTTTCTCCGCTCGAAGACAAAAATTAATCTCTGAAGAGAATCAGAATTATCGACTAAAAACTTTACATGCTGGACATCTTCATTATCTCAGAGGCGTCAGTGGTTCTGGAGTTTAATATTTGATTGTTACCACCACTTTACTTGAAATTATTATACCACTAAAATATTATCACTTAAAAACAGTGAGCGAAAGTTGGTTACTTAAAAACATTGTGCAGCCACTTGGCGAGAGAGAATTTATTGGTTATCTCGTTTGGAACTTTTGAACATCTCTTTCTAGAGAAGAAATATACGTATGTAACAGTAATTACTTTATCATAAGTCACAAATTGCCTCTGCATAATGTAATTCGTAAGATATTTCAGAGTCTCGCTTCTCAGCCTGTACCTTTCTATAATTAATATGAACGCATAATTAAAATAAATTCGAAGTTTCAAAAGCTAAGCAAAGTATTATTTTCATGACTTCGTGCATGTGAAGAAACATCATCAGTTGATGTTATAATATCATTTATTAATGATACAATCAGAAGACTGATATACTGTAATTGCTTAATGATGCAATCAGAGGGATGTTACACTATCAATGCTTAATGATACAACCAGAGGAGTTTTACACTGTCAATGCCTAATGATGCAGTCATAAGAGTGTCACACTATCATTGTTTAATGATCCAATCAGAAGAGTGGTGCACTATCATTGCTTAATGATGCAATCAGAAGAGTGTTACACTATTATTGCTTAATGATGCAATCAAAAGAGCGTTACACACCATCATTGCTTAACGATGCAATCAGAAGAGTGATGAACTGTCATTGCATAATGATGCAATCATAAGAGTGTTACACTATCATTGCCTAATGATGCAATCAGATGCGTGTTACACTATCATTGCTACTTGCTAATGCTGTACCAATGAGATCACATAAGGATATTTCAGTTAATGAAATAATAATTGCGTTTAAACAAATTAATATATATGTAAAAAATATATATAATCTATGTAGCCTATAGTGTATGGATACCTGAGCGCTTCTAAGCATTATCCCTTGTTAAACATAAAATAATACAAGCTAAACAATCTATTACATATAAACAGTAACATCCACAAACAACACAAACTATCGCAAAATAAGATTACACTTGAGTAAAACTTCTATAAAAAATCAAACTATGAATTTATATAAGAAATAAAATCTGCAACGGAATGGACTTCCCGACTGAAATTTCAGAATTTTATAATTCCAGCCAGAGAAATAAGCGCGAAATTGTTCACATAGCGATGCAAGCTTTCCCATGGTGTGAGTCATCACTCAGTTTAGCCCCTCAGAGGGACATATCAGTGCTACTAGTCTCTCTGGTCATGGTCTAAGCAAAAAAAGTATGTCACTATTTAAACATTTTAGCCATTTATTGTCTCAGTGTAGTGTCTTGTATTTTTAGTTGCCTATTCTTTATCTGTAAACATACACAAAAACATGCAGGATATTTTCTTAAATACTTTATCGCTATAATATTATCACAGAGTTAGGATTCGCATTACACTAACAACACTGAATATTTGGATAAAGCTCGTCACAAACGCGGAACAACCTGGAACGCCTGATGTATCCGGAGGAACGTTCTCAGGGGCCCTAGACTCATGGCGTTCACCGTTCCTTGCTTCTCTTTCTTCCTTGGACGACGTTTGTTCGTCGTCTGTAAACGTCTCGAGGGCAGCGTTCTGGCTGGTCACTGAATGGATGTAGTGGTCGATGCAGAACTGCAGAACGCTGATCGGTCCAGCGCACTTGAGAACGACCGTGTGGAAATCCTGTAGTCTGAATAATTCCCCTAGAGCATTGACGGCTTTTTGTCGAAGTTCCTTGAGTTTGATTTCACCGACTTTTGCTGCCGCTGAATAGCCAGGCCAGGTCAGGACGCGGCGAAGGATCAACTGTAAGTCGGGAAATTTATTAAAAAAATTATTGAAATCCGGAGTCTTGAGCAATTTATAATACCTGTATACCAGCAAAAAGTGGAGATAGAGGGTGAATGGTTACACATCCATCATCAATACATATATAAAATCTTAGTATAATATTATTTGCAGGCTTAAATCACGAATAAATCAGAAACGTGACAGCAATGAAAACGTTTAAAAAAATTCAAAATGCATTACTTGGCATCACTCAAGGAAACCATTTGTAATAGAGAAGTAATTTTGAATTGATGATGGAGCTGGTCTATAAATTTTTTCAGTGAAAATACTGTCAATTTTTTAATTATGTTCCTCGTTTGCAAATTCTTCATTTAGCTTAACTCCAAATTGTCACTGCGCAATATTCTAATTATTTTGTTATACTAAGGAATTTCAGGCCTATGAATGAAACAAAATTTACATCCCAATACGCCCCATTAGCGTAGTAACTCAATAGGTTGGATTAATTAATCTCAAATCAAATTCGTTGACCCGAAGAGCAAAATTGGACAAGCCAATCAATCAGCCAACAAAGACATCAATTAATAATAGTACCTTTTTGTACATTTTATGAGAGTATATTATTATAATTAATTATTGATGTCAAAGTATCTCGCGACCAGTAGAAATATTAGTTACTGGGACAGTGACTGGTTTGGTGGGGAGGGTCTTAGTAGTGTAGCTACACGTATGCAAGGTTACGTCGTTGTTTACTGGTTACGGTTGCAGTGCACATGGATTGATTGGTTAACTTCCCACTGTGGTGTGCAGTGGCTAAATTAGTTCACCGTGGCGTGGTGTGGAGCCACCAAGGTGTGGTGGAGCAGGAAGGTGTGTGCCTCGTCCACCGTCCACTGGAGGTCGTGGAGGCCGGTGTCCACCACCAGCAGCGCCGCCGCCAACGCCTCCTGCGACACCCGCCCCAGCCTGCCCAACGAGAGCTCATTAACCCTCTCTACGGCAATATGAGTTTCAACTTAAATTATACGTAAACTATTGAGCGTAGCAACCTGAGGACGTTTGTACGCAACAGAGAACATTTTAAAGTAACTTTCAACTTAAATTATACGTAAACTATTGAGCGTAGCAACCTGAGGACGTTTGTACGCAACAGAGAACATTTTAACCCTCTACCGCCGTATGTCACCCTCTGGGAACATGACTTTCAACTTAAATTATACGTAAACTATTGAGTGTAGCAACCTGAGGACGTTTGTACGCAACAGAGAACATTTTAAAGTAACTTTCAACTTAAATTATACGTAAACTATTGAGTGTAGCAACCTGAGGACGTTTGTAGGCAACAGAGAACATTTACGCAACAGAGAGTGCCTTATGTCACTTTCTGGGAACATAACTTTCAACTTAAATTATACGTAAACTATTGAGTGCAGCAGCCTGAAGACGTTTGTACGCAACAGAGAACATTTTAAAGTTGTACGTGGCGGCAACCATCAGTGCAAGTCATTTTGCGCTCACTAGAACGTATCCTTTTTGGGAAGTAGGCGCGTGACAATATTGCTCCGGTTACTCTTGTCAGGCGGTAGAGGGTTATGTTATACGCAGAATATGGATGGTCATTTTGTCCTAAAACGGAAACACGTCAAGTTATACTCAGAAAAATGTTTAGTCACATTGTCCAAAAACGAGTGCACGTTAAGTTATACTTAAAAAAATTAATTGTCACATTGTCCAAAAACTTGAGAACGTTATGGACCGCCAATCGCGCTGAGAAAAATTATCCTCTTGACCAGAAATAAAATTATCCTACTGTCACATTTTCGACACGAAGCATTGAGGATGGAAGACCCAAAGACGGTGTAAGAACTGAATCGCTATTTGAACAAAGACTCACTCATTTTTCTTAGTGCGAAGATGGGTTGAGTGAGTTAAAGTGTGCTGAGTGAGTCAGAGTGAATTGAGCGAGTCTGGAAGAGTTAAGTGAGTCCGAGAGAGTTAAATGAGTCAGAGTGAATTGAGTGAGTCAGAGTGAGTTAAGTGAGTCAGAGCGAGTGTGAGGGACTGAGAGATACGCGTTGCGCAAGAGGTTCAGTTAGGTCACTTCACGCTACATCAACTGAGGTTGAGTGAGGCCTGAGCCAGCAAGTTAGAAATACGTACTGAAGTCGCCAAACACTTGGAATTTAGGAGAATACCTCAATCATAAATCAGGTCGAATTATACCTCTCAGATATTTGTTTGCAATAGGAAGCATCACACATGTCCGTGTTCCTGAGAATACCTCACACATGTTTATATTCCGGAAAATACCTTATATTTATTCATATTCTGGAAAATACCTCACGTGTTTTCATATTTCTCGAAATGCCTCCAAGGCGTTCATACTCCGGAAAATATCTCACACGTTTTCGTATTCCGGAAAATACCTCACATACATTCCGGGAAATACCTCACATATATTCTGGAAAATACCTCACATGTGTTCATAATCCGGAAAATCCCTCACCTTTGTCCGGGATCCTCGAAAAGTCCTAACTCCTCGCCGAGGTATTGGCTGTACAGCGACCATCCCTCGACGAAGGAGGAATAAACGGGCAGCTTGGCGGGGGCATCGCTGAGTCTGACATCTTGCAGGATCCGTCGGTACGTCGGAACTCCGCTGCCCGTCCGCAAAAACTCCGACAGCAAATAACGGCCCGGAATTGTCCAGTACAAGGATAAAGCTCGGACCTCGTCGCGAGAGCTGCGATGCGGAATTATCATTGATATTTTATCATGTTTTCAGGCATTTTTTTATTAATCTATTTAAATTATTATTTATGCCTTGATTATTACTTAAAATATTAAGTTAAAGCCGAAAGAGAAACAAAATTAAATTTCATTGAAAATAGCAATAGTGGAAAAAACAAGTGCAACGGACATTAGCAACCGTCTCGCACACAATCAGTATTTAAAATAAAGAAATCAAAAACATAATAAAGATTAGATGATGCAAGACATTAATTATTTCATCATAGAATATGGGTAAAATTATTAGTCCTCATGTTGTCCATGCAAATGACGTTGAAAACGTCATAAAATCGACATTATTTTAACGTCAGATGTCTGGTGCCAAGCTCTCCAATCAAATGACATTAAAATGACGTTGATTACGATTTATTATCCCCTGAGCGACGTTAAATTAACGTCATTTCAACGTCAGATGTCTGGCGCCTATAGCCTTACAATCATATGACGTCGGAATAACGTTTATTAAGAGTTAAAATCACCTAAGTAACGGTAAATTAACGTCATTTCCTTTTCAGATGTCTGGTGCCTAGCCCTCCAGTCAAATGACGTTGAAATAACGTTTATGACGAGTTAATATCGCCTAAGTAACGTTAAACAAACATTATTTTTAGTTCAAATGTCTGGTAATTATCTCTCCATTCAAATATCGTTGGAATAACGTTGATTACGAGTTAATATCACCTAAGTAACGTTGAATTAACGTTATTTTAAGTTCAGATGTAAGTGGGTCACGATGACTCACATGAGGGTGAGGTCGCTCGTGTCCACCAGCAGGCGGGGGGGCGTAGGGGGTGCATCCAGAGGGGGGCTCTTGTACTCCAGACGGCCCCCCAGGGGGGCGATGGTCGAATTGGTCACCCTGAGGGGGGTGAACGAGTGAAATAATGTTCGGGGCGATGGGTGAACGGGTGAACTAATGTTGAGAGATATGAGTAAGCTTACAAGTGTCATTCATATCATTTATCAATGATATACTAATGAACGATTCTCGGAACACGTGAGATACATTCATGTCATGCTTGAGTGAAATAAAATGAATGAATAAAATCTGAAGACCAAATATATAGCAAACAAATAGTTAAATATCAACAAACCATAGAAGCATTAGAAAATTTAACTCTAATTACGCAGTCGAGAAACACTGTGATATAAGAATAATTGCTATGACTGGAATACATATTCTTGCTACTTGAATAAAATACGAATACATGCATAAAATACGAGCAGGAATATCAGGAACGCACTTCACTGCAAATTCCGGCACGGAATCGAACGCGGTTCCTAAATCCGCGTTGCGGACAACATTGACGGACTCTTGCAACGCTGCGATGACGTCATCAGCAGACGAGAAGTAGCGGCTAGGAGCACGTCTGACCACGTCAAGCAGGGCGACGAATGACGCGTCGTGGTCAGCAGGCGACGTTTCGTGGTCAGCTGCCGACGAGTCGTGGTCAGCAGGAGACCTGTCGTGATCAGCTGGCGACGAGTCGTGGTCAGCAGACGAGGACTGGTCATCAGCAGACGACGAATCATTGTCAGCAGATGACGTTTTGTGGCCAGCAAGCGACCAGCCAGCGTCTACGATCGCCTGTGGTTAAATTAAATTTTGAATAGAAATTCAAGTGTGTAAATTTAAATTGTGTAGAATTCAATTTAACAATTTGGAACGTTTTCGATGAAAGTGACAGAGGGGAGACGTCACAGGTACTTAGTTAGAAAGTAAAAGCAACCCAAACAAAAATTAGATAACGCCTTGGCTACTGCTGTCAGGGATCGCTACACTCGGCTTAGAGTTATTCTGGGTCTGATTGACCACGTAATCGAAAAAAGGTCCTGGTCAGAATCCCATTTCCGAATCTATATTATCTTGAGAGTATGACAAGTGTGTCCTAATGGTTTGCAACCGAAATTGCGAGCTGCTTAAAGGCTGCATTTCACGCCCGGCCGAAGCGGGCATTAGCGGCTGTTTTACGTGCTACCCGAGTCCAAGGCGGCACCTGTACGAGGGTCGGGCCCACATTTAAATTTTGTAAAGGAATGATCCTCAATCTAAAATTACCTGTCTGAGCAGCGGTCGTATCCTCTTGACCTCGCTGAGGCCCAGTGCGTTTATCTGCTGAGGTGTGAGGCCCGTCGTGGTGTGGTACCTCAACAAGGCCTCATAGGCCCCAGTCCCAACACCAGCGACGCTCCCCAGGCCCGCCTTCTGCCGCGCCTGAGGCACATACGACTCCTGCCGAGAGGCACGTGTTAGCGAAGCTTTGAAATGTTAAAGACATGATCATCTTCATGTCAACAATCATGTACTTACGTTAGTAAGACATAATCATGTTCGTATCAAAAATTATTTACTCATTTTAGTAAGGCATAGCATGTTCGTGTCAACAATCATGCTTTCATGTTAGTGAGATATGATCATGTTCGTGTCAACAATCATGCTCTCATGTTAGTGAGATATGATCATGTCCGTGTCAACAATCATGCTCTCATGTTAGCAAGACGTAGTCATGTCCATGAATGCCTCCACGAACTGACGAAGGCTCACCTCCACGAACTGACGAAGGCTGTCGAACGCCGGCAGCACGTCTTGCGCCACGCGTTCTTGCGCCTGTAGACGAAGCGTGCTTCTGCGAAAAGGAATATTAAAGTTAATACACAGAATTTCGCCGTGATATTTACATTATTCTGCCTCACTATCGATCTTGCGAATAAAACGAAGTTTTAACTCAAAATTACCTTGTCGCCAACTGTTCGTGGCAAAATATATGATGAATAAAATTGTGTTGAATAAAAATAATAGAATTTTTAGTCGTATCATGCTCGGGAGGAATGAAAGTTACATTACGAATGCAATCGACACGCTTTACAGTTGCCACTAGATTTCAAGCAGAATTATATTCCATACCCCGGACAGTTGCGAACAAAATTTGAGCCATGTTGAAAATTAATTATCTTCAAGATTAAGATTGGGAAGGTTAATTAAAAAAACACAGGTGTCATCATCTAAAAGCAAGTTTCATTACCTAAAGCAGGTGTCACCACCTAAAGAAGGTGTCATCACCTAAAGCAGGTGTCATCACCTAAAGCAGGTGTCACCACCTAAAGCAGGTGTCACCACCTAAAGCAGGTGTCATCACCTAAAGCAGGTGTCACCACCTACAGCAGGTGTCACCACCTAAAGCAGGTGTCATCACCTAAAGCAGGTGTCACCACCTAAAGCAGGTGTCATCACCTAAAGCAGGTGTCATCACCTCTGGGCCGCGGATACGGACTCCGGCAGGTCCACGAAGGGCTTGAAAAACGCGGATTCCGTGACTGGCACCGAAAACGCGGACAGCTGCTCGGTTACGCCGGCCTGCACGAGAAAATATTTCGTTATTGTTCGTTATTGCTTGCTTATAACAATAACGGTTGTTTTATATAACTTTATTGCATGCCTTATTGATGCTTTATCGTGTGCTGGTGACATACATAGTATGTCATTGCTTGTAATGAAAATGTTATAGGTGATATCATAGAATGTTATCGGTGGCCTACAGTAATTTAATGAGTCCTTATTATCACCAGGTGCAGTTGGATGCTTGGTTCATGAATTTTACTCAACTGGAAATGAAGTCATGAAAAACATTATAGCTCATCAGGTGAAATGTACCTATAAATGGAATAAAATATTTAGTGAATGAATAATGGTTCTTTCGGAGGAGGATTTTGAACGTTGCAGCAAATGATTTGCAATGAAGAATTAAAATGAATCAAAACAATACGAAAAATGATTGAAAAATATTTACTTAAAAAGGTCAAAACTCTGCAAAATATCCTTAAAAAAGTATTTGTAAAAAATAATCACAACGTTTCAGGAAATTATTGAAGACAATGGATGAAGATTTGTCAAATAACTTGCCAAAAAATAAGGAAATATGGTATTATGGTAAATTAATTAAATATGGTAGTAAGAAATATGATTGTATTAATTGTAATAATACTGAACAGAAGGATTAAGGTAGTTGAGGACTGACCAGCACCGAGGCGTGGGGCACAAGTCCGTCCTCGATGTTCTGCCTCAGCAGCGCCACGACCTCCCCAACCTGCCTGGGGAACCCGCCATACCTGGTGGGGGGAAAGACTGTAAGATTATGCATAACACTAATACGTGACCCATGTTATCGTACGGCAGGCACTTGTGCACATATCTTAATGTGGAAGAGGTTGAAGTAAGATAGAGATAAAGCAGTGTGCATGCAGTGGGGGATGACTGTAAGATTATCTTAAGGTGGAAGAGGTTGAAGTAAGATAGAGATAAAGCAGTGTGCATGCAGTGGGGGATGACTGTAAGATTATCTTAAGGTGGAAGAGGTTGAAGTAAGATAGAGATAAAGCAGTGTGCATGCAGTGGGGGATGACTGTAAGATTATCTTAAGGTGGAAGAGGTTGAAGTAAGATAGAGATAAAGCAGTGTGCATGCAGTGGGGGATGACTGTAAGATTATCTTAAGGTGGAAGAGGTTGAAGTAAGATAGAGATAAAGCAGTGTGCATGCAGTGGGGGATGACTGTAAGATTATCTTAAGGTGGAAGAGGTTGAAGTAAGATAGAGATAAAGCAGTGTGCATGCAGTGGGGGATGACTGTAAGATTATCTTAAGGTGGAAGAGGTTGAAGTAAGATAGAGATAAAGCAGTGTGCATGCAGTGGGGGATGACTGTAAGATTATCTTAAGGTGGAAGAGGTTGAAGTAAGATAGAGATAAAGCAGTGTGCATGCAGTGGGGGATGACTGTAAGATTATCTTAAGGTGGAAGAGGTTGAAGTAAGATAGAGATAAAGCAGTGTGCATGCAGTGGGGGATGACTGTAAGATTATCTTAAGGTGGAAGAGGTTGAAGTAAGATAGAGATAAAGCAGTGTGCATGCAGTGGGGGATGACTGTAAGATTATCTTAAGGTGGAAGAGGTTGAAGTAAGATAGAGATAAAGCAGTGTGCATGCAGTGGGGGATGACTGTAAGATTATCTTAAGGTGGAAGAGGTTGAAGTAAGATAGAGATAAAGCAGTGTGCATGCAGTGGGGGATGACTGTAAGATTATCTTAAGGTGGAAGAGGTTGAAGTAAGATAGAGATAAAGCAGTGTGCATGCAGTGGGGGATGACTGTAAGATTATCTTAAGGTGGAAGAGGTTGAAGTAAGATAGAGATAAAGCAGTGTGCATGCAGTGGGGGATGACTGTAAGATTATCTTAAGGTGGAAGAGGTTGAAGTAAGATAGAGATAAAGCAGTGTGCATGCAGTGGGGGATGACTGTAAGATTATCTTAAGGTGGAAGAGGTTGAAGTAAGATAGAGATAAAGCAGTGTGCATGCAGTGGGGGATGACTGTAAGATTATCTTAAGGTGGAAGAGGTTGAAGTAAGATAGAGATAAAGCAGTGTGCATGCAGTGGGGGATGACTGTAAGATTATCTTAAGGTGGAAGAGGTTGAAGTAAGATANATGAGCAGATGGTTCATGAGCAAATGATTCATGAGCAGATGGTTCATGAGCAGATGGTTCATGAGCAGATGGTTCATGAGCAAATGATTCATGAGCAGATGGTTCATAAGCAGATGGTTCATGAGCAGATGGTTCATTAGCAGATGGTCAGACCTGGAGAGAAGTTTCTGGAAGTCGTCGTAGGAGTTCAGCTCCATCTGCTCCAGCACCAGCTGTGGGAAGTGGAGGTGGGGCCCCTCCAGCAGCGTCACCGGAGTGTACAACCTACCGAGTGAGTGTACAGCAGAATAGTACCACATCAATACATTAAATGTTTATGGATTATTTATTACGTATAACACATTATATATTAAATAAGATATATATATATATATATCGCATGATAGACATTATATATTACAGATTATATATTTATTTTTGTTTGTATATTATATACTATAGGAGAGTTATATATTGAATCGGGATGTTGAATACTGAATCGGGATGAATATTGATTAAAACTTTGAATTTTCAAATCTCTTCGGGATTACAGAACTATGAGCAAAAATTTGGATATCCTATGTAGCAGAACTGAGCGTCAATGAACGGTGGGTCGCGAATAGTTTGGATGAATTACGACCAATAATGTTACCATCAATAAAATATCTCAACTACATTCTAATAATGAATATAAATTCTGAGTGTTAATTTGTTATTTAAAAGAATACTAATAATTCAAAACTGTATTTATCAGGGATTGACATGTTATTATTCCTATCGCTTCCTGTCCTTGCTAAATCCCATTTCAACCAACATTATTTCCGAATTGAGGTTTATTATAAAAGTTACGCTCTAAACCCGAATATATCTATCACTATACAATGTGCAAGTTAAATTAAAGAAATTTGTGTAATAAATAAATAATCCTAGAGTGAAACTACAATTGCAGGATACCCTTCTATTAATCCCTCAATCCCTCACTTGACATATTCGTAGTTGTCCACGTATGTCTGGAGGTAAAATTTTACGATCTTTAGGTTGACTTCGTCGTCGAAGCCTAATGAAAAGTTGTCCAAGTCCCTGGCTCTGTCGAAGAAACGAACGCACTCTTCCTGGAAGAGGAAAAAATGCATGTTTTTCATTTAATTAAAAGTAATTGAATACGATAATTCGTCATTGTAAAGTCCGCGAAAAATGTATAAAAGCGAAGTTAATAATCAGTGCACCAACGTGAATTGAGTACGAAATTCGAGGCATATTTCAAAAAATCACATATATATATATATCTCATTATTATTTCAAATAAATGTAATAATATACCTAAAATACACAAGAAAAATAATAAGTGCTTGACTATTGTGGGTTGTTCAATTTATAATCCCTGTGCTTAAGAAAGTACGTGCTGCTTCAGTTTATTGATTATGAATTCCAAATCAAAGAATACGGCATATTTTATCGAAAACGTTTCGGCGACCAGTTCCGTCATCCGTTCAAAAATATTCGAGATTACAGGTAAAATCCAATAGGGAAAAGACAAATTCACACAAAAGAGATTAGAACCAACGTATCAAATAATATGCGTTCAAAAATTACTTTTTAAAGACAACATTTCAAAAGAATGCAGTGTTTCCTATGTTACCAAAGTACAATGAATTTCTAATTTTGCTATCAAATAAAAGAAAATTATTTATAAATCTTAATTTTAAAATTAAAATAAATAAAATTTTTCAAAATTATTCATTCTGTCAATTGATTCATGCATTGTCTCCGACTTAACGCAAGTGTGCAAATTTTCAGATTGATTGGACTAGTAGAAGTGTGCGATTATAAGATATTTAGCAGACAAAATTATATTTCATTTTTTAAAATAAAATAAAATGTTAAGTTTTCAAAATTATTTATTCTGTCAATTGATTCATGCATTGTCTCCAGCTTTACGCAAGTATACAAAATCTCAGATTGATTGGAGAGGTAAAGTCCTTTAAATATCGATTATAAGATTTGTGGCAGACAGACCAACGAACAAACAACAAGAAGTGAAGTTAAAGAGAAGTGTTGCAAAAAGGACCACGTCACATAGAAGCCTTCGATTAACAGTTCCAGGTGGATAGTAACTTTAAGTGATATTAAAGCATTGTTTCCGAACGTTAATTTGTACGACGTGGTAAAGGTGAAGAATTTCAAACTTGGATCCTAATTCAGGTATGAGCCGCCATTCCTGCCCCGAAGCGGTCCTCATTGGTTTATGAATACAGTTGTGCGCAATGCGCATAAGAGTAAGTAGGAATGATGTCACGTAACTTCAAACAAAGAGTTGCCAAACATCAAGGAAGTAGTTATCGTTCTGAACTGCCGCTTGTTCACTCACTCGTTCCACTCTGCTGTACGAATTCACGCTGAATGACAGATTTTATGCGCCTTGGTCCTTTTTTCGGTACCACAGTTTTAATCTCTTGCGTGTAGTTTTGGCTTTTCTCGATTGATTGTACTAGTTTTTTTTTCTGCATTTTTGAACTGATGATGGCTGGTCACCGAAACGTTTTCGATGAAAATATAATTAGTTCACTTGATAAGTGAATAAGCTGAATAAGTTCAAATTCTTCTAACTGGCGATTTCTACAGACAAATGATATAGGGAGAAACTATTGACTGAATATTTAGCAATGGATAATTCTGCCTATCAGGATGCAGGACATATATATATTCTATTTTTATCGCCTTCATACCTGTGAAAAAAAGTTAACAGAAAAATTTTTGACTGAAAGACCAAAATTTTTTGAAGTTCGATGACATCCATACTGTCTGGAACCAGGTACTGCGTGTGAACGACGGCTCTCTACTTCCCTCTTTAAAGACCATTACTTCCTATTCCCATTGGAGAAGAATGCTACCAGTCTCCTCCTTTAATAATCTGCACTCCAGTTCAACCGTAGAATAATGACTCAGATGTCATAACGAAATGAGCCTGACGTGGTTTCCATCTGACGTCAAAATAACCTGAAGTAATATTCACCTGGCGTTATTCATAATCACCTAGCGTCATATTCACCTGAAGTCTTATTCACCTGGCGCCATTCACAATCACCTTGCGTAATATTCACCTAACGCCATATTCACCTGAAGTTTAAACTCACCTTGCGGGCAGCGAAATGGAGAGACGAAAGCGAGTCCAGGCGACCTGCCGTGTTGTCGTTTAATCCCACCTAAGAATTTAAATAATAAAAAAAACACAATTTCCTATTGACGGCGTCTGGGAACTTCAATGAAGTTTTTGATCATTTAAACATAAGGTTGCAGAACTGGAAATTTTAAAACAATCTTGACATCAATCGACACTACTGAAAATTCGCCAGCTGTTTAATTAATTTATGATTCTTATACTAAAATTATGGGTTCATTAGATGGGCAAAATGTTTTCTGCACTTAAATTTAATTGAGAGTATTTTTAAGCATGCCTAAATATTTCGTATGGATGTTGAAACATATAGATACTTGCATTATAATAATAATAATAGCGGTTTCAGCGTTAATTTGGCCGTAGGCCTGTCGCCGATTCTTAACATCGCAGAACATTCAGAGTATTTTGCGGTCTCGAACTCGCAACTCACTGCTTCAATTCTGCTTTGCTCAACCGCCCGGCCTCCTTGCCGATTCTGACCAGAAACTGGCGCTCAGAGCTGGGATCGAACCCGCGCCTCTCTGCTCCAATCTTGGTACTCTGAACTTTAACCACTGGGCCACTCTGGGCCCAGCCTTTTAACTCACCATTGTAGCATACTCGGGAGTGTCGTGGGTACGCCAGTGCCAGATGTCCCTCAAGAGGGCATGCAGCCTGGCAGAGGCAGCCTCGTCTGGCCGAGGGTAAACCACAGCCTGAGGGTCAACCACAGCCTGAGGGTCAACCACAGCCTGAGGGTCAACCACTGACTGAGGGTCAACCACTGACTGAGGGTCAACCACAGCCTGGGGGTCAACCACTGACTGAGGGTCAACCGCCCCCAGGGGATCAGTAAACCCCCGATGTTCAGCCACGTTGGAGTCGGCGGATGTAGACGATGAATTATAAGCCACGGTTCCCCCATACACATTAGATATTGACGTTGATATTAACAATAAATAAAATATTGATAGTTTAATTAAACTTCTAAGCGATATTAAAAAATGCGAATGACTTAGATTGTGATAAGTTATATTAAATTCGTGGTTTGGAAACGGCTTTGGACGGTAAACATGCCTATTACTATCAACGACGAGATGCTTAGCTTTACAATTTTTCGATCTTTTTCTTCGTTGCAAATATAATGTGCATAGTTTTGATGAATAATTATTGAGCATGACCTCGCTGTGGTCATCCGTTGGGTCTTCATCCATCTTGGCGATCTGTGGGAGAAATGAACACAAGCTAAACATCGGTAAACATTTAACAAACATCGTGATAAGGCATTTAATGGATAAATATTATGATAGCTAAAGCCAAGTCTATCATAATTTCCCAATTTAATTATGCGATACGTTTATTAGTTAATGAAATCTATCACACAAATTAAACATCGCTAAACATTTAACAAACATCGTGACCAGGCATTTCATCGAGAAATATTATGATAGATACTGCTACGCCAATCATAATTTCCAAATTTATATGATGCGTTCGTCAGTTAAGGAAATCTATCACATAAATTAAACATCGCTAAACATTTATCAAGCATCGTGACCAGGCATTTCATCGAGAAATATCATGGTAGCAAAATCCATGTCTATCATAATTTCCAAATTTAAATTATGCGTTCGCTAGTCTGTGAAATTTAGCACGGATAAATAAACATTGGTAAACATATAACAAACATGGTGATCAGGCATTGAAATGAGAAATATTATGATAGATAAATACACGTCTATCATAATTTACAAATTTAATTAATGAGTTCGTCGGTTAATGAAATTAAGCAACGTAATTGATTAGCAGTTGATAATGAGATGACAGAACAAGATCAACAAATCAGCAACACAACATTTCGCCGAAACCACCGAGGCAGTGATAGGTTCATCGAACTCTAACACAGATAAATCTGTTGCAAGAACAAAGACCCGATGACAACCTACGGCTGTAACCATTACTGGTTATCCATCATCGTAATAGTACCATCATCGTTATTGTAGCATCATCGTTATGGTACGTAGATCTCTAAACAGCTCTTAGACTCGTCCTCAACTACAGACTACAACAAGCCAACCGCTCTTCAGCAGTCGTTACTCTCGACGACCTCTCCCTGACGTACACTCAAAAATATTCAATTGTCATTTTGTCCCAATATTGACCCATTCTTTCTTACCACAGTACGAGCAAAAAACGTACGTAGTAATGCCGGGCCCTAATAAAAGTGGACGTAGTAATGCTATTTTACACTACCAAAACGGGTCAAAGTGGACGTAGTAATGTCATTTTACCGTACCAAAACGGGTCAGAATGAAACATGAAAGCATACAAACTGCGTCGCTAAGGGGACAAGTTTCGGTCATTTCTTTGAGTGCCAGGAGTGGCGGTGTTCACGTAAGTAGCAGTGTCTTCCGTAAGTGTCATTTGTATCCGCGGGTAATGAAGTATCTCCGTGTATCTCGGGGGATGAAATATGACCACAGTCCTGCCTTCTTTGTCTTGCAGGAAACATTCGTGGCAATGAAAGCGTATATCGTCTTCGTCTGTACGACGTCTTTTTTTTTTTTTTTGTTGTACTCGTGTTTTTCAGAGATAAACAGTTTTGTTTATAGTAAGACGAATGATCGTGATTGAAAAACCAATTACTAATCACCTAATAACTAATTAGTTATTAATTATCAAGTATTAAGTTACGTTATGTTACTTATCATTATGTTGATAATAGTTACGTCAATTAATTTATAATTTTGGCAGCTACACTTTACCGCCGAAGCGTAAAGAGATGGAAGTTCTTCTAAGAATTAAGAAATTTCAATAATTAAACAATAATGAAGAATTATTAAATTATTTTCAATTAGAATTATTCAATTATTTTAACCATCAAAACCCAAATTTCACAAAGAAATTATTATATACCACTTGCATTTCGATAAATGCTAGTGATGAATGAACAAGCTTTCCATTCCTTACTTCGTTTGAAAAATATTGAACACTCGTAATGCAGAGAGTATGGTTCACTGCCATTCAGTGGTAACACGTTGGAATAACCTAGACTAATTTTAAAGTTATTTCAACGTAGTGCATTAATTGAGATGAATATTGTACAAAGAATATAACAATATTAATAATATTCAATAAAATATAATAATAGGTATTCCAATATTATGTATTTATAAAATAATATTCCAATTATATAATATTCTAATAATATTCCAATATTCAATATTGTAATATTGAATATTGGCGACAACACAACAATATCAGCGCTGTTAGCTACGCCGTTCATTGTTCCGTTTTTTCAAACTGAAATAATTATTAGAAAATACGTCAATTCAAATCCAATTTACAAAATTCGTAGAATTCAATAAATTTCAATAAATTTAAATATTAAACAAATTTCGATAAATTCAAGCTTGCAAGTTTCGTGTCTCTCAGGAAATTCGCTTGAATTTCTAAGTCCTCCCGGCGCTCGCGTGCTGTGTGTGCTGAAGTGACCGCACCTCTAATGGCCGCTATACAACCAGCGAACCAACGCTGTTCAACCCAAACGTAACCACCAAAATGTTTGGCTTCGTTCCAAGCTAAAACAAAACAAATTCCATGCTGTTTGACCGAGAAAAAACACCATCAACTTGACAGGCTTCAGGCGAAAGCAATATTTTTTTGCAATAGTTTCCAAAACTCAGACTCGATGGCAACAATTTCTTTCGTGCTTCGAAAAATATATTTTCTTCTTCAATTTGGTTTTCCAAACGCACTTAGCAGAAACATTATTGACGTTTTTACTTCTTTTTAGAACCAAAATTTTGGTTAGAGTCAAACGTTCCTCGTCGCTATTCAAGACAACGACGATATGGTGCGTCATTGTTTCAATCTAGGAAAAGAGAAACCCGCAAGATCAGTCTGTCAACAACAAGAAATATTGAACATCAACGGCGACAGCATTGAAATATTGAACATCAACGGCGACAGCATTAAAATATTGAACAAAAACGACGGTTTTCTCTGTTGTAGGAAAGCTAACTTGCAATTCTTAACTGCACTGGAAAGTCAGTGAGCATCGCCGGCGTGACCAACTGATCTGCCGTGACTTGTCCGCGACTGCGGCGCTCATGCACTGCCGCAATGTAGCGACCAAAATTTTAACGTAAGAGAGAAAATTTTACCGCAATATGAAAAATAAAATTAAATCAAAACGACGGATAGAAAAATCGTACCATAATAGATAGAAAAGCTTGCCATTATACCTGAGAGAAAAGCATGCCATAATTTCTGAGAGAAAATCATCCCTTCATACCTGACAATAGAGCATGCCATAATACCTGATTGAAATGCATGACATATTACCTGAGAGAAAAGCATGCATGATACCTGAGAGAAAAACAAGCCATAATACCTGAGAGAAAATCATCCCTTCACACCTGGGAATAGAGCATGCCATAATACCTGAGAAAAAAGCATGCCTTAATACCAGAGAGAAAAGCATGCCATGATACCTGAGAGAAAATCATGCTAGAATATCTTATATAGAAGTATGCCCTAATATATGATATAAAAGCATGCCATAAATATTTTATATAAAAGTATGCCATAATGTCTGAGGTGAAAGAATACCACCATACCGGGTAAAAAAGTATGCCAGTTGTTTCTGCTATCCGACGGCAATAAAATTTCTCCTACAAGTACTTGGAGACTTAATTCTTATTCAGTTGTCAGTGGACGGAAGTAAAAGAATTGAATTTGCCATAAATGTGATGAGATCATCACGTGCATGGTTAATTGATGAAGTGATTTTTCAAACATCGCTCTGAAAACCGAACAAGTCATTATTATAATATTTCTTTCGAGATTGCAAACCGAAATAATTTTCTGATTTCAATTATCGGACAATGAGAAAATATCATATCAATTTCACTATTTACTAGACGATTTCAACGTTTCGAGTTTTTACCATTTTTACCGATTCCGTAAACATTTTTTCGATTTTTTAACGACTTAAAATAGAATAATTAGTTCTCGTTATTTACTCAATAAAAACAATTGGATTTTTTAATTGTCAGATACTTATTTTCTCTTCTATTTTCGTGTGAATGGTGCAAAATAGATGGAGAAGTTGTAACAATTAATTGAATTGTTAATTATTTCGTAATCCTAATTAGAGCTCCAAAGTAGGCCTTGCAGAAGACCATTGTGAATATTTTTTATCGCTTTCAATGTTACGTAAAAATACATTTCTCATGCAGGTCACATGTCCCTCACTGGTCACATGTCCCTCACAGGTCACATGCACGTCTGTCAGCAAGTTAGCACGTCTGTCAGCAGGTTAGCACGTCAGTCAGCAGGTTAGCACGTCTGTCAGCAGGTTAGCACGTCTGTCAGCAGGTTAGCACGTCTGTCAGCAGGTTAGCACGTCTGTCAGCAGGTTAGCACGTCTGTCAGCAGGTCAGCACGTCTGTCAGCCATGCTTGAGGTGGGCGGGGTCTGGCTCAAGGCAGGCAACCTGCCCTGCGGGACGCCGTCGAATGCGCGCCAATACAAAGCCGTCTTTGCTGTCCCGTATGCGCGAAAAATAAAATTGGCATGCTTTTAATATTCCGTAAGATCGATTATATTCAAAGATATTTGAAAAATTAAATAACTGGTAATAATTTATGATCGTTTGCAAGTTTGTAATATTTTATAAGGTCAATTAAATAATATTCAAGGTTATGTAGAAAATTAAGTCAAATGTCAAAATTTATAAAAGTTGACAAGTTTTTGATATTCGATGAGGCTAATCATATAATATTCGTACAAAGTATATAATTAAAACGCATTGAAAAATATCTGATTGTTTGTAATTTCTTAAGATTCCAAAATAGTAATTAAATGATGTTAGAAGATATAAATCCTATTAGATCGAAGTTATAAATTTACGATCGTTCATATGTTTCTAAGAATCATAGGAAGTACTTATGTTATGTTCAAGGCTTTAAGTACAATTGAGTGAAAGCTAAAAATCGTTTATCCGAATTCAGGTGAAAAAATATTGAATGTTTTTCTTGTTAGTTAATGGCTCGTTTCAAATGATTTATCCAGGATTTATGTCCAATATCCTTAAAAAACGTAAAGGGAACTTTATAACCGGCCAGACAAACGGAGTTAACCAAATGTCACATGCATTGCATTTTTTTCTCAAAAACTCCCCCCGTTCGAAGTCAGGTTCGAAAAACCTGGGTTCTCAGTCTGATTCTCAACTAGGCTTTCTATCGGGTTCTTCAAAATCAAATCGTTTTCGAGAACTTCAACGATTTTGGTTCCGTCATAATAACTGGACTGAATGTCGTGATCCAGATTCTGAAATTCTCAGTCACTCCCATATGACTTTTAGATATTTTTAACAAATCCAATTATCAGATTTTCAGGTTTGAAAAGATGCTCATCGACAGAGTAATTTTGAGAGCAGATAGCAACAGGTGCGGTTAGAGGAGCTGCAACGAGAGAGGCTACAGGGACAGGAACAGAGGCAGCAACATGGAACAAGCATGTCATCAGCACAGGCAATGATGACTACTGAGTAAGAATGATAAGATCAATATCAATAACAGTGCAAGGTTGAATAGTAAAGGCAACAGCGGGGACAACGAAAGAACTGCAGCAACAGGGCGACTGCGGCAACAGATCAGCTGCGGCAAGTGCGCGGCAGTGTCCAGGGTAGCAATATGGATGACGGTAACCAATAATTGCAGCAACATAAACTAAACCCCAGCCTCCCAGCCTCCCTCCTTTCCCCTCCATCATCCCTCCATCCCTCTCATACTCCTCGTGCAGATACTTATACACTGGTGATGCCTAGTGCTAGTTGTGTCGCTAGTACTAGTTAACGAGCACAGTTGGTGCTCGTTTAACCGCCAGCGTTTTTTACCACTAGTGCAAATTTTATTGCCATTTCTTATTTGTCTCATAATGAAGGCTTTACTTCTGGTTTAAAATTTACCGCTAAAAATTACATCGATTTCAACCATCAACCATCGTTGTCGGATCACCATTATTCGTTGCCGTCATCACGGCTCTTGCTCTGCTGGGCTCCGTAGTACAGATGTTCGGTGCCGTCATCACGGCTCTTGATGCTGCTGGGCGCCGTAGTACAGCCGTTCGGTGCCGTCATCACGTCTCTTGCACCTGCTGGGTGCCGTAGTACAGCCGTTCGGTGCCGTCATCACGGCTCTTGCACCTGCTGGGTGCCGTAGTACAGCCGTTCTGTGCCGTCATCACGGCCCTTGCACCTGCTGGGAGCCGTAGTAAAGCCGTTCTGTGCCGTCATCACGGCTCTTGCACCTGCTGGGTGCCATAGTACAGCCGTTCTGTGCCGTCATCACGGCCCTTGCACCTGCTGGGAGCCGTAGTAAAGCCGTTCTGTGCCGTGCACTTACTAGAGGAAAAATAAAATCTCTACACTGAACTTTCTCTTCCCAGGTATTATTATCATTACTTCCTATTTGTATATAATAATTTATATTTTAAATGACAAAAAAAGAAAAATATTTGTAATATATATACGACTGCTCATTTATTCATAAACACTAAAATAAACTCAAAGCTCCCTGTTAGAAAACATATATAAAAGATTGCATGTAGTCGCTTACGTGACGTGGATGTTGATCCAATTATTTAAAATATTTGAATTAATGTTTAAATTTAAATATTATGTTGACCTAATATAAAAATTCTAATCGTTAGAATTGAAGTTGCGTGGCAATTGGCGATTAATCAAGTAATCAAATAATTATTAAAAAAATAATTATGTAATAATTGACTACGATACAACTTTAAAAAAATTAAAGGTCCAAATGACGTGAAGACATGGAGCTCCAAATTACTGGGAATGTCAGAGTTTGTCTCACTACAGAGCCTATATAGGGATGTTTTTAAAACTATTAAATAACAAATAACTAATTGCGGAATTCGGTAAATTATGGCCCAACAATTACATTAGGCCCCACATTCAAATTCGTGCGGAACCATTAATTGTGACATGAAACATATTATTTTAGTAAAATAACTAAAAATCATCGGAATTTGTCAAACGTAATTCAGTTTCGGAGTACAACATCTTAATATGCTGTACATGGTGTACGAAATATGGCATACTCCTTGCATCTCAGCTTTAAACATTATACTAATGATAAACCACATCATCTTAATTATCTGCACATCATCTAATTTTGTTAGAAGCTATCTTAGCTTTGAAAATAGTCCTCATTTTGAAACTCATCATCTTTATTAGCTGCACATCATCGATTTTTTGTACCCCATATTAAACATCATCTTATGGATAATACAGATCATCTTAATTATCTAGAAGCAGTTTTAATTTGCGATTAGTCTTTTTTTAAGGCTGATGGTCGGTAGGCGTTTTGTACGCCATTATAATCATCATCTTATGGATAATACAGATTATTTTAATTAGCTACAAGCAGTTTTAATATGCGATTGGCCTTTTTTAAGGTTAATGGTCGGTAGGCGTTTTGTACGCCATCATAATCATCATCTTATGGATAATACAGATCATCTTAATTAGCTACACGCAGTTTTAATTTGCGATTGGTCTTTTTTTAATGTTGATGGTCGGTAGGCTTCAAACACGCATTTTTAGCGACCAGGATGGCGGCTGCTGGACCATCCTATCAAGGCCTTCATTAATCACGCGCCGCTCTTAAGACCTGCTTCCGATTTCCAAGAAAACTTCGATGCTGTCATCCACTAAACACAAATAAAAATTTCAAGTGGAGCACCGATGAAGTATGTATAAAATTTGTTGTGTTGAATTTGTTAGGCACTGGCGCACTCCACTCGAGTGATACGTAAAATAAGTGTGATCATTATACGTAAATGAGCGAACAATGAGTAGAACTATTTCGAACAAATTTCACACTATAACCATAATTTTCCAAATACCACAATATATGATACAACAGCTCGTTTCAATTGACATTTTAGTAACTTTCCCCGAAGCTAGCGAATAGCGTGGGCATTCTTGAATAATTAATAATTTTTTTCAATTTTAGGTGAAGGTAAATACGCAATTTTTAGAGACCAGTGTTCAACTGCAAGTTAAGAAGCTAAATTTTTCAATACCAGTGTGCAGTTGCAGGTTAAAAGCTCAATTTTTAGCAGTCAAGGTTCAGTTGTAGGTTGAAAAGCTCAATTTTTAAGGAACATGTTTTAAAACACAGGTTAAAAACTCAATTTTAAAAGACCAAGGTTCAGTTGCAGGTGAAACAATATTATTTTTAGGGACAAATGTTCAGCTTCAGGTTAAATAACTCAATTTAGAAAAACACAGTATTAAACTACAGGTTAAAAACTCAAATTAAAAGACCAAGGTTTAGTTGCAGGTGAAACAATTTTATTTTTGGGAACCAGTGTTCAGTTGCAGGTTAAAAAATTCAATTTTGAAGAAACCTGTATTAAACTACAGGTCAAAAACTCAATTTTAAGGGACCAATTTTCAGCTGTAGGTGAAACAATTTTATTTTTTGGCACCAGTGTTCTCAGGTGCAGACGCTGCAGGTCTCTTATTCAGTGATTGAATTTCTGACGTTGGCGTAGCAAAAGGCGAGTGTTGCAGTGAAGGAAAGTGATATTCGTAAATTCCAGACTTGGCTGTCACCGATATCTCCGTTATTGGTGAGACGCGCGTGTAACGGCCGATAACGACCGATAACCGTAAAAAAAACAACCGATAGCCGTCAAAAGAAAGTTACAAATGGACCACAGACCCTTGACCGATATGATACGAATTCACTTCTTCATTTTTTTCATTGTTTAGAAAGGTTTCGTTAACTTTTTTTAATATTTGTTCTGTTTTCTGCCAGCCTCCAGGATTAGTGTGCCATTAATGCAGAGGTAAAATTAATCAGTAAATAAATATCTTAAATCAATCGGAATATCGTACGAATTCACGAGATGCTTTCAGAATTTTTCCAGCTTATTTGAAAAAAATCGGACAGGATTTTCAATTATGAATTGTTACTCTGCAATGAATACATAAATATGCATGACTGCATGGCGTGTAGAGTATTCACGGATATGAATGATTTGCGCGCAGAATATCTATAAATATTAATGAGGTATGTATTAGTTACTCTTGAAAATTAATAATTTGCGTGTGAAGTACTCATACAACTTAATAATTAACGCATGAAGTTATATAAATATGAAACGGTTGATTTGATAAGAAAAATAAAACCACATTAACATGTATTAGACTTACTTGTATAGCTTTTACACGAGATTTTAATGAGAAATTTGACTCCGAAAGAAAGAAAATTATCAAAATTTTTATACCAATGTAAATTTGCTTCCATAGTCTGAAACACGATATTTTAAGATAGAGATTTTGATACTATAGAAGTATATAAAGATATAATATAATAATATTTAGTTCGGATATTAGTATAGTTAGGCAGAAGTTCTTCATTATTATTCTTCATTTATATCTTCAATCAAACCTGTATAAATGAAGAACTTCTGCCTAATATTTAATTGTAACCAACTACTAACTACTGATCCAAAGCCTATAATACTGTGAATACTTAAAATACTTGATAATATCATAAGTGAGTACTGAACTTTTCTTTTGTTAAGATATGAAACTGAAAAAAGTTTTGAGTCTCAAGTTTACATGAAGTAGCTGGATTTTTTGGCCATTTCTTTAGACAATTTCGGCGATGAGGATTGAATGATGCAGAACATCAGAGAACGTCACCTGAACATCAGTGAATGTCACCTGAACATCATATTTTATATTTTATTACATTATATTAAATTATATTAATATATTTGAAGAGTTTTGCAAACTGAGGGGAAAGTTTAAAATCGCAGTAATATCGAAAGTGCATTTAATATATAATAGACCCTGAGACTACAATGAGTGTGAGGTAGGGGAAAAAGCGGTGGAGGAGGAAAAGCGAAATGTTGAAAGTACAACAAAAACAATGAGAGGTTGAGAAAAACTATTAATTTTCGCACATTTCAAAATAAAAAATTAACAACTTGGCGGTATTAGTGATGATAAACTATTAACAGATGATTTTCGGGGCATGCCAGTGACATGAAGCAAGTGTTAAATGACCAATTCAAAGTAAACTTTGTTCATGTATAAATAACACTTTTTATCAAAAATTCATAAGAGAAGACGGCATATACAAAAAATAACCAAACTTCCTTACAGTGGACGGAGTAGGAGGATTGTCAGCGAGCAGAGCACAACTCCATCTTGGATTAGGTCTCTAGCAACGGACGGAGGAGCAGCCAGGATAATTTTCAATGGATATCCGCAGAATCCCTGGATAATTTAGCACCCTAGCCAAGCCAGGAACTTCTTACGCCTCTAGTGTTGACAGTTTGTCCGGGTTTCAGTACAGACGATATCCTATTTTTCAAACAAAAAGAACAGTAATTATTGTTGAACCTTTAAAAGACACTCCTAACATTTACATTGATGAATAGTGTTTAGTTCTATTGAGTTATAACCAACACAAAAGGAGCTTGCATCAAAAGTTTGAGCTTTGCCAGATCTCTGAACACGAAGCGAAGCTAGGAGCTCAATGACAGCGCACCATCACTCGGCGACGTCGCAAGCGTTACTGGCTGGGATCTGGAGACTGGAACATTTGGAACCTGAAGCCTCCAGCCATTCTCGGTCCCGTCAAAGTGAATAGCTATTTACTCTTCTTTGGAGTTCTTTCCAGCACTAATTTACATTCAATTTTCTCTGGTAGAAGTCCAGTCTTGAATTATATGTTTATTAATTTCCTTTCATTTCATTAATTTACCGTATTGACCAAATATGGTCAATGCCAATCCACTGATATTATTTAATTCACGGCAGGCACTGCGGATTAATTTTTCATTAATCCGTAGAACCTGACCGCTTTTACTAATCAACAGATTCGTCATCAAAATGCTTAGTTATGGATAACGCACATGTCGAGTGTTTTAGATGATAGCTACAATCAAGGATAAGCGATGAATACGCTGAGTGGGCTTTTCCGAATAGAAAATATTACCGATATAATATCGTTAAGAAAAAAGCATCAGCTTAACAAAAAGATCTCTTAACAGGTCATATATTGTTGAGAACTGAGGTTAATTAAGACTCAACCTCGAGCAGTTTGGCCATGATTGAGACTCAGCAAACAAGCAGTTGGAACATAACTAAGACTCATCATCCAGCGGTTGAAAGGTAACTAGGACTAAAGATCCAGCTGTTGGGCCGTTACTAAGATTCATCATCCAGTAGTTGAAACGTAACTAATACTCAACATCAGCAGTTAAGTAATGACTTAGACTCAACCTCCAGCAGGTTGGACTTCAACGTGACCGCGGCCGAACATCCGACAGTTGGGACTTGAACATGACCGCGGCTGAACATCCGGCAGTTGAGACTTGAGCATGACCGCGGCCGAACATCCGGCAGTTGAGACTTGAACATGACCGCGGCAGAACATCCGGCAGTTGGGACTTGAACATGACCGCTGCCGAACATCCGGCAGTTGGGACTTGAACATGACCGCGGCCGAACATCCGGCAGTTGGGACTTGAACATGACCGCGGCAGAACATCCGGCAGTTGGGACTTGAACATGACCGCCGTAGGACGTGTTTTTTAACAGGCATCTGACCGTAAATTTGCGCGGCTCACGACATCGGAGGAACACGTTTGCCGGACCGCAAGAAGCGCCAAAATATGCCCGAAAGTTCGTGAGAATGGAAGAAATCGCAAAATATTCCCATGCAAGTTCCTTTCAATATTATCCAGGTTTTAATCCGCATTGATTCAAATACAGAACTAAATCGAGATCTTTTATAGTCTAAAATATTGTTTATGCAGGTTAATTGGATTCAGGCATTGGAATTAAATTCAAGTTGCGAAGAATTTATATTACTGTATAACTTTATTTACTTAACTAACTAACTACTAATTACTTAACTTTAATTACTTAACTTAAATTTTTTTGAATGATGTTTGAGAGAAACTGTTGCGGCTGTCAAGCACACGACGAAATGACCATGATAATGTGAAGTCAGCATCAAAATCTTATAAATTTACGTTTTTCGAATTATCTTTACATTAATCGAGGCTCGAAAAAAGACAGCATAATTGCCTAATTGCTGGGAATTGCATAAAGACACGGACTGAAAGACACGATTTCCTGAGAACTTTCGATGTAAACAATTTACTGAACATTAACTTGCGTGCTTCGTGAACTTTAGCGAGTATTACACTAAAAAATATCGTTTAGACGATAATAATGATGAAAAAAAAAACAGTATTAAAAACAAAAAATTTTACAAGGGACATCTAATCACATATGTTATACGTAGTAATACAAGCTTGTGTGAAAACTTGTTGCTCCGCTAATACGTATATGTTGGCTGTTCGTTCACGCGTCTCCACTAAACTTTTCGTGCCGGATTCTAACTTTTTATTGTTTATTTAATTTATTTTTATCTTAACGCTGTGAAATCGAAAAATTGAGAGAAGAGTTTAATTTGAAATTGAAATTCTATTTGCACTTTGGTGAATTTAAAATTTGTTTAGAAATAACACATTTAAATTTTTGTTAATTTTCAACAGGAATTGACTGGGAGTTTCTTACAAAATATAGGTTTCAATTCGATTATGATTCGATTAACCGGTCGATATTTAATTATGACACTATAGTATACTAACTAAAACCTAAATTCGGAAACACATGGTTCAGGAAGACTGCGTTCGAGATGGTGGGGTTTGGAAAAACTATATTCTGAAATTTTGAAGATTATTTATCGCATTTATTTATTCATATTTATCTATTTATCATATTTATCTATCCTGCTCATAATATGATGTACCCTTTTAAAAGAACTCCCAATTGCTGCGTTCAACTATCACTACTGTTTAATATGTTGAAAATAAAGAAACAACTTGGAGATGTTGAGGAGTTTGATCCAATGTCAGCAACGTGTTCAACAAACATTCGCTCAGTATGGAAGAAAAACACTGAACTAAATTCACCATCAATGACACATGAGTTGCCACTCAGCAGTTACTGCACTTAACTCGCCTTCCGTCAAAAAGAACCGTGAAATACTGTACATAACTCTGATTTGTAGAGCTCGATTACTACAAAATAAACACGAAGAGGCTTCCAAATCACAAAACTTTGTGGTTCACTTTATTTAAAAAATATATCGTTTCCATTGAAGGCTGACGGCATAAGTGCAGTGGTGACTCGACTGTCATTGTCGTCACTTAAATAAATGCAAGATTAATAAGCGATGGTAATAATATTCAGATAACTTCATTTGTTGGCAGTGGCTGACTGAGACTTCACTTTAAATACGTGCAATAAATAACTCCTCGCAACAGGCACAATTAGCGACCGCGGCAGAATGCGTCACAGAACTTGTGAGACAATAGAGACGCTCTCTGAGGTTCCCCATTTTAAATCAAACACGAATATCTGAGATAACATATAAATTATAAACATTAATAAGACTCATTCCTGCTTCCATTCATAATTATTGATCACTTAGGTTATACAATTCACTATAGTAAAACTCTATTTCCAGTTTACCTGATCAATTTTGCACTAGTTTCAAGGTCTGGTCTGTTTGACATTCAAACATTTTATTGAAGAAATAGCACAAGGTTTTATATTAAACCTGAAATTATGAATATAAATAGTTTTTTCTTTGCATTCGATAATTCAATAGCATCAGTTTGCAAAAACGAGACGATAACTTACTGAGACATTTCTTTACACAATTTTATTAGCGAGATAAGCTTTTCTAACAATGCATTTCAGCGCTAAACCATCGAAAGCTGTTATGCTGTATGTACATTAAGTTTATACTGTAAGTCACCCATACATGTATGCTGATAATGTTGGAGGTCGCCTGGGGAGTGTTTCGGCTGCTTCAGGATCACTACTACGGCTGCGTTGAGGTCGCTTTAAACTAATAGGGTGAAATTCAACTTCTTCGTTACGAGAATATAATTCATTTATACTTGTAAACTACCGTTTAAAAGTCCAGTAACCAATATATTTTATTTTAAAATTATCTTATACATAATGGTCAAAGCGCTTGAGTGTTAGAAGCCTGGCGCTGCAGATATACAGAAGCTGTTGGGTATACTGAGCAATGGCTAAGGAACATTCTTCTTGACATTCCGCAGTCAAATAACATGACGCATTATTGGGGAAACTGAATAACAGTCAAGAAATCAGGCACAATATTCTGGAGTGGAAACTTGAAGAGTCATAAATAACTTTAAACAACTTATCAAACTACCAATTTTCATCCCATGACTTAAGTGAAGTATAACAATAACTGGTTTAGTGTCGCGCAAGCTTCATATTGGTATAATGTGCAAATTTGTAGCCTTCCTAAACTGCCCAGTGCTAATTTTAAGCACATTTCTTAGCTCATAAGCTCACTTAACTTGCCGGTGATTCATTCAAGATTAATTAGCACACTCATCTCTCCTATAAACCCACCATGGTTCTACTAATTAAAGTCAACTAATAACCTTTCCAGCTTTAATATTAGGTAATCGATTGCTACTGACAACATGTAAGTTCCACTAAAGGCGACTAATAACCTTTTCAGTTTCGCTATTAATTAATCGATTACTACTGACAACATGGAAACTCCACTAAAGTCGATTAATAACCTTTTCAGTTTCGCTATTAATTAACCGATTACTACTGAGAACATTGAAGTTCCACTAAAGTCGACTAAAAACCTTCCCAGTTTCACTATTAAGCAATCGATTGCTACTGACATGTAAGTTTGTCCACTTAATTAAAAATTTGCTTTCAAACATCAATTGAACAAAAAATTCAACCAATGCATGAAAAATGCTCGAACTGATAAGGAGTTCACCATAAATGTCTCCCCTGAGCACTCAGATTGTCAGCACCAATGAACAATCTTCATTTTTATAATGATAAATTTCCACAGAAACCGTTAAAAAAATTATAGTTACAATCATTCTTGGATTTCAGAGTCCGTGAAGCGAAAATGTTTGGCTGTGGTTTGAGTTAGAGCGAACACTTCCTTAATGTTGCTTGATTACGTGTTGCGGTTGCGGCCGTTGCAGAAAAACATGGCCGCACCGCCGCGGAGAACGAAATTATCTCCATAGGCTGCATGAAATTCACGGCTGCTCTGAAATACAGCTGCGGGACAACATGTCAGCTGAATGCGACATGTAGTAGGAAAACAAGTTTAATTCAGACGCTGAAAGTAATTTATGATCGATACGGGCGTGAGCTGACATGTCTGCTCTAATCGGGTGTAGACTGACATGTCTGCTCTAAGCGGGTGTAGACTCACATGTCTGCTCTAAGCGGGTGTAGACTGACATGTCTGCTCTAAGCGGGTGTAGACTGACATGTCTGCTCTAAGCGGGTGTAGACTGACATGTCTGCTCTAAGCGGGTGTAGACTGACATGTCTGCTCTAAGCGGGTGTAGACT